ATGTGGCTCTCGCCTTAGCGCCGCGCACATTCGTTTCATTCTCTGCAAGATTTTCACGGATTGAAGGCGAGTGGTCTTCAAAATGTGGCTCTCGCCTTAGCGCCGCGCACATTCGTTCTCAAGTTCTGCAAGAGCTTCACGGATTGAGGGCGAGTGGTTTTAAACATGTGACTCTCGCCAAAGCGTTGCGCACATTTGTTTTAAACATGTGCAAGATCTTCACAGATTGAAGGCGAGTGGTCTTCAAAATGTAGCTCTCGCCTTAGCGCCGCGCACACTCGTTTCATAAATTTGCAAGAGCTTCACGGATTGAGGGCGAGTGGTTTTCAAAATGTGGCTCTCGCCTTAGCGCTGCGCACATTCGTTTTCAGATGTACATCAGCTTCACAGATGGAGGGTGCATCGTTTTCACAATGTGGCTCTCGCCTCAGCGCCGCGCACACTCGTTTAAAAATGTGCCAGAGTTTCAATGTTTCCCAAGATCAGCGTACCAGAAAATATGTTTTGGAAGGATTCCGGATTATGATTCGCGGTGTTGAAGGCCCAAGAATGGCGTTCTGGCACCATTCAGGAACGCCAAGACGCAACAGTCAGGTTGATCCGTGGCGTTGGAATCCCAAGAACAATGTTTTGACATGCTTCAGGGTCTTCCAAGGGTTGCCTTCCAACGAGGCAGTTCCCTCAGTGGAAAGAACCTTTGAAACGGCCTACGAAGAGGGAGCTTAGATGGAGGGTGAATTACAACATCGTAAATGAGTCTTGGATGTACACTGGTCCCCTCCTCCTCCTCCACCTCCTCCTCCTCCTCCTCCTCCTCCTCCTCCTACTCCTCATCGTCCCACTGTTTCTTGTCTTGGCCATGTCCGCTTCTACTGCGGCCTCCGGGCCTGGCAAGCGACTTCTGGGGGGGCGAAGACGACCACCGATGACATACGCGCCGTGGTGTTTTTGTCACAGCGCCAGGGGGGGTCACGAGACGGGGGGCCCGACGCGGCGCCCCGGCCCCTTGTCCTGCCGTAGTTCTCGTACCTGTCCCCCGAGGAGTCGCACAGGTCGTATTCGGCGTATGTCTCGCAGTTCCACTGAGGCCCTGCGCGGGAATGGCACTCGGGAGGGGGGGGGGGGGGCAGAAGAAGGGGGAAGGGGAGTGTGAGCAGGAGGCAGAGGAGGGGGGCGAAGAAACAGAGGGGAAGCAAGGCTTGAAGACGGGGGGGGGGCAGGGGAGGCGGGGCAAAGAGGAGGGGGAAGCAAGGAGGGAAGGATGGAGGGCGGCAGGAGGAGGGGGAAGGAGTCGTCGGAGGAAGAGGAGTAGGAAGAAGAAGACGAAGAAGAAGAACCAGACGATGATGATAATGATGATGATAATAATAATCTCCGATGGCACTGCGAATAGTGTTAGTAGACGTTATAACAGTAAGGATACACGAAGGAACAACAACAGTAGCAATACGATTATCAATAAGAGCAATAATAATCGTAGTAGTGATAATACACAGCTTTATCATCATGACCAGCAGCATCATCATCACCCGCATCATTATCAACATCATCACCATCAACAGCATCATCATTACCATTGTCATCATCATCAACAACATCAGAATCGCAATAACAGCATGACCACCAATATGATAACTCATAACGATACAAATAGTCCTAGTAACAGTAGTAGTAGTCGTCGTCGTAGAAGTAGTTGTCATAGTAGTCGTAGTACTCACAGTAGTAGTAGGAGTAGGAGTAGGAGTAGGAGTAAGAGTAGTAGAACTCTTAGAGTAGTAATAGCAGTAGTAGTAGTAGTAGTAGTAGTAGTAGTAGTAGTAGTAGTAGTAGTAGTAGTAGTAGTAGTAGTAGTAGTAGTAGTAGTAGTAGTAGTAGTAGTAGTAGTAGTAGTAGTAGTAGTAGTAGTAGTAGTAGTAGTCGTAGTAGCAGCAGTAGTAGTAGTAGTAGAAGTAGTAATAGTAGTAGTAGTAGTAGTAGTAGGAGGAGGAGGAGGAGGAGGAGAAGTAGCAGTTAGCAGTTAGCAGTTAGCAGCTAGTAGCTCGTAGCTAGTAGTTAGTAGTGAGTAGTTAGTAGTTAGTAGCTAGCAGCTAGTAGCTAGTAGTAGTAGTAGTAGTAGTAGTAGTAGTAGTAGTGGTAGTAGTAGTAGTAGTAGTAATAGTAGTAATAGTAGTAGTAGTAGTAGTAGTAATAGAAGTAGAAGTAGAAGTAGAAGTAGAAGTAGAAGTAGAAGTAGTAGTAGTAGTAGTGGTGGGGGTGCTAGTAGTAGTAGTTAGTATTTAGTATTTAGTATTTAGTAGTTAGTAGTGAGTAGTTGGTAGTGAGTAGTGAGTAGTGCGTAGTTAGTGGTGGTGGTGGTAGTAGTAGTAGTAGTAGTAGTAGTAGTAGTCGTAGTAGTAGTAGTAGTAGTAGTAGTAGTAGTAGTAGTAGTAGTAGTAGTAGTAGTAGTAGTAGTAGTAGTAGTAGTAGTAGTGGTAGTGGTAGTGGTAGTGGTAGTGGTAGTGGTAGTGGTAGTGGTAGTGGTAGTGGTAGTGGTAGTGGTAGTGGTAGTGGCAGTGGTAGTGGTAGTGGTAGTGGCAGTGGTAGTGGTAGTGGTAGTGGTAGTGGTTGTGGTAGTTGTAGTGGTAGTGGTAGTGATAGTGGTAGTGGTAGTAGTTGTTGCTGTAGTGGTAGTAGTAGTAGTAGTAGTAGTAGTAGTAGTAGTAGTAGTAGTAGTAGTAGTAGTAGTAGTAGTAGTAGTAGTAGTAACAATGATAGAAGATGATACTGGGAAAAGAAAACAATTAGAGTCTTGTTTGATCTTACATGAGATCCCTTTGCAATTGCGCCTTAGGTTTATGAAGTCCATGAAGGGCTATGAAGGCCATGAGGGCTAGTGCTACAGGGCTAGGGCTATCGGGCTATAGGGCTATAGGGTTATAAAACTATAGGGCTGTAGGGCTATAGGGCTATAGGGCTATAGGTCTATAGGGCTATAGGGCTATAGGGCTATGGGGCTATGGGGCTATAGGGCTATAGGGCTATAGGGCTATAGGGCTATAGGGGTATCAGGCTATAGGGCTATAGGGCTGTAGGGCTGTGGGGCTGTAGGGCTGTGGGGCTGTAGGGCTATAGGGCTGTAGGGCTATAGGGCTTCAGGGCTTTAGCACTATAGGGCTATATGGGCTATTGGGCTATAGGGCTATTGGGCTATCAGGCTTTAGAGCTATAGGCTATAGGGCTATAGGGTTATAGGGCTGTAGGGCTGTAGGGCTATAGGGCTATGGGGCTATAGGACCATAGGGCTATAGGGCTATAGGGTTATAGGATTATAGGGCTATAAGGCTATATAGGGCTATAGGGCTGTAGGTCTATAGGGTTATAGGGCTATAGGGCTATACGGCTATTGGGCTAGAGAGCTATATGGCTATAGGGCTACAGGGCGATAGAGCACCCGGGCACCCGGGCACCCGGGCACCTCCGGGCACCTCCGGGCACCCCCGGGCACCTCCGGGCACCCCCGGGCACCCGTGCACCTGGGCACCCGGGCACCCAGGCGCCCCTGGGCACCCGGGCACCCAGGCACCCTGGCACCTGGACCGGCCACCGAAATCGGCGACGTAGGACACCTACACATTTGAATCTGCTAGGACCCCTACAGGGGCAAGCTCTGATTGGGGAATCATCTGACTCCTAGTGATAGTTATAGTAATAACAATGAAAATACTAGCCAGAATGATGATCGAACGAAGAATAAGAGAAAAAGAAGAGGAGGAGCAGGAGGGGGACGGGGAAGAGGACCTCCTCCAGCTGCTCTTCCTCCACCTCCTCCTTCTCCTCCGTCACCTCTTCTTCCTCCTTCTCCTTCCTCCTCCTCCTCCTCCTCCTCCTCCTCCTCCCCTCCTCCTCCTCCTCCCTCCTCCTCCTCCTCCTCCATCCTTTCTCTTATAGATACCCCCTTCTTTCGAAACCCAGACATGTCAGCGGAACGGGCCAGGAGTTTCGGTGAAGACTTCCTCACCATGCATGGTCCTGACACTTGAAGCTCGCAGTAGCTGTTTGTCAGTGTGGACCCCAAACAGTGAGATGTTGTGCTGCGGATGTGTAAGCTACAAAGAGTGAACTACGAGGCGTGAGCTATGTGGTGCGAGTTGTGTGGCGAAAACTATGAGGCGCAGTCTGCGTGGTGCATTCTATATGTGTATGCATATATATATATATATATATATATATATATATATTTCCCCCTCGCGCACCGACCCCTCCTTCTTCGCAGGCTGGTGCAATCGTCTGCAGCACGTCACTGTCAAGGCCCGCCAAGCCCCGATGAGCCGCAGCGATGCCCAGGTGGCTGGTGGGAGTGAGCAGCACGGTGAGACGTAGGCAGGCCCTGCGAGCAACCGCGGCGGGTGAACAAATCTCGGCGGCGAGCGATGGGAGAGGTGAGCGGGAGAGGTCCGGGAGAGGTGATGCGGTGGGGGAGGGGGTGGATCCGCTGCGACAGGAGCTGTGGATGATTGCGGAAGTGGTTACAGAACACACCGTGCAGGCATGGTGCCTCAGTGATGCATGCCAAAATTCTGCAGCACGGCCTTCTGATTCCTGGCCTCTGGATCACGGTAGACGTAGACGTCGTTGAGCTTCTCGAGCGTCGCCGCGGCCTCGTTGATGGATTCATCGCTGGGCAGCTGGACAAACGTCTGAAGCGTGGTACCACGCGCTTCATGCACGTACGACAAGATAACCATAGTCAGGGAATCATCGACCTCTGCGTCCATAACAAAATAATTAGGAACCCAGAGCTGAGAGAAGTCCTTCTTCCGCAATATATCATCTCTGAATGAATCAATGTACTCGGCGATCTTGCCCTCGTCCAGATCTTTAGGAATAATGCCCATCATTGCGAAGATCAGATTGACGACGTCCGTCATGCAACCCTCGACGCCGTAAGCCGCGAACGCCTTGCTAAGCCAGCGGAAGGCGTGATGCTCTAGGGTCACGGTTTCACCGTCCGAATTCTTGGTCTCTATCTTGCGGAGCACGTCCGACGCCTCCTTGTCGAATCCGAAGTTGTCCAGAAGGTGGTCAAAGTGCAGCTTGTGCGCCCATCCGTCGCCCGCGTACCTGTTCACGAAGGCTGTCCAGGCACCATGATCTGGAACATCCGCCGGCTTGAGATCCAGCAGACCTTTCACGAAACTCTCCAGCTTGTCTATGGCTGCCCCGTTCCTCTGGGCGATGTCGTCTATGCTGCGCGCGGCATTGACAAGGTCGACGACTTTGGGCATCTTGCTCTGGACTACGCGGTTGAGAACATAGGAAGGTATTCTGCACGAAAGCCTCTGCGCAAGAGCTCTCATATCGGCGGGCTCGAAGATCTTCATCACCGAGTTCGGGATGTTCGGTCCGTAGACTGGCACGTTAATAGACAGAAGTGACTTCGGCAGATCCATCTTCTTGCTGTTGTTGAAAGGCGGCATGGAAGCCTTGATGTTCATGGTTTCCTCGTCGACCGCCTCGGGGTCCGTGGACAGCAGCCGCGCCAGCCACGCGCGGCGAGCTCCCGAGACCGTCGGAGTCTGGTGATTGCTCCAGAACACTGCGATCGTCGACGGCTTCTTCTCGTGCATTTCCGGCAAGCCGAAATCCGAGTCTTCGTAGAGCCAGTCGACGAATGTGCCCACGGAGATCTGGCCGTTGCACTCCTTGGGGGTCACGGACACGAAGACGTTGAGGCCCTCGTCCGAGATGATCGCCGAGCTCGGGTCCAGCTGCCGGAGGAGGCGCTTGAGGTTCTCGGCGGTGACGTACAGCCCCTCCGGGTCCCCCGCGAGGCGGCTGAGCTGCGTCTTCAGCCGCCCCACCAGCGGGGAGCCCATCCGAGCAGAAGCCAGGCCAGGGCCGGGGCAGCGGTCTGTCCGCAGGGGGGCGGGGGTGCAGTCAGCGGCCTTGGCCGGCGCGGCTTGAGCCAAAATGGCTACGGCATATGTATATATATATATATATACACATATACATATATATACATATATATATGTGTGGTTCAAGCTGTGTGCTGCAAACTCTGTGGTGCAATAGATGTGTGTGTTTTGCGATCTACGGTACGAAGTATGTGGTGCAGTCTACGCGGTGCATTGTATGTGGTGCGGTCTATGCGGTGCATGTGAGCTATGTGGCGTGAGCTATCAAACGCGAGCTATGTGGGGTAAACTATGTGTTGCACCGTACGTGGTACGAACTACGTGGTGCAAGCTACGTGGCGCAACTACCTTCGACCGCCTTGGAGGCGGTTAACTCCACTGCTCTTGCAAGCATCCCACTTACCCACCGGCAACTCGATAGGCAAAACCCACTTGGCCACGATTGCGGCCCCCGATTCGAACTTGCTAGCGCGCCTCTACGGGCGCGCTGGCGCGCGCGCTCTCGCGCAGAGCGACCAGCTGGTTTGGCACAGCTGAAGCGGCCGCGATGGCGCTTACCGATGGAATCCCCCCAGCGCGTCGCAAAGGCCGCGCTGACACGCGGGCACTCCAGTGCGGGTCGGTGACTCGGGCAGGCGGAATTTCGCGATGACGTCGACAACGGCGGCAACGATGATAATAGCGATGGCGGTGGCGATCATGACGATGACGACGGCAAGGTCAATGACAGCACCGATGCTGGTGACGGCGATGACGATGATGATGTCATGTGTCGGTGGTGAAAGTGATTGTGGTGATGATGGTGATGATGGTGATGATGATGATGATGATGATGATGATGATGATGATGATGATGATGATGGCATTAATGACGGCGATTGACGATGACGAGAACTGCGGTGATGCGATGACGCTGACGACTGTAATGGGGAAGTGCGCGCGCAAATGTTCAATAACCATGGCATGCGTGCTGCCGAAAAACGCGTGGCTCTTCAGATGTGTTTGAAGAGTTGTGTCTTGAAAGAGGTCGAAAACCCATAGCTCTGAAAGATGTCGGCACGCGCACGGTGGCGCGAGCAGGTGGCCCGCATGGCCCTACCTGGTATTGGTCCGCGCACTGGGCGCAGGCTAGATCAACGCAGACACACCGCGTGGGGAACGGAGAATGCGGGTTCTGGACGCGAGCGCTACCATCAGATGGTTTTCCTCAGATGTCAGCAAGTGCGCGCGGACAGAACACCTGCAAGGCTTGTAGTCAAAAAAAACATGGGTTTAGGAAGTTTCTATGGTAGGACGCTTGCAGAACGAATGTGCTTGGTGGGATTTCGACATGTGCACGCGCATGTTAAGCACCGTTATCTCTTTCCCCAGGCAAGGTCTGCACCTACGGAATTGGTTGGGTCTGGTAAGGACTTTCCACGTTGCCGCCCGTCGCCGCCTCGTTGCCGCCTCGTGCGCTGGGTGGGTCAAGTGAAGCTTCGCCACATTGCCGCATTGTTGCCGCCTCGTGCGGTGGGTGGGTCCCGCGAGGTTTCGCCACGTGGCCGCCTCGTTGCCGCCTCGTTGCCGCCTCGTCTGGAGAGGTTTCGCAACGTTGCCGCCC